CCTCTGGGGGTCACCTCAGCCACGCCCCTGCTCCAGCAGCTCACCCCCAGCAGGGTGCCCAGGGTCACAGCCAGAAGCAGACTCAAATAGGGAAAAAAAATCAGCACAAAACCAGGTATTTGGGGGCAAAAGATGACACGATACCCACCCCGACAGACTCCAGGACAAAGGGAGGAGGAAGCCAGAGCTTTTCTCCCAACAAAAGCCACCACACAGGAACTCACAACTCAGCTTTAATAAGTAGAATTCACTTCTAGAAACCCCATGAGGCAGAAATGCCACTTCTTAAAAAAAAAAAAACACCATCAACTTCCAGACAAATGACACAGGGCAGGAGCTGGATGAAACTCCAGCGAGCCCGTGCTGGGCTGAGCTTTCCTTCCCCTGCTTTAAGAACACCCAGCTCCTGGGCAACACCCTTGGAACCCCCCAACTCCCACCCCAGCCAGCTGAAATCCACAACCAGGAGCAAATCCAAAGCAACCCCCAGCTCTGAGCTCCCCAGTTCCCAACCCCCGGGGACTCTGCAGCTGCTGAACGTGGGGTGAGGAAGGTTCTGAGCCCTGCACGGAGGAGGAGGAGGAAGGTCTAACTCCCACAGAGCCTTCCCACAGCTCCAGCCTGGTGGGGACCGTGGTGTTCTGGTACCAGTTTGCTGTAGGTGGCCTCAGCTGCCAGCAGATGAAGCCTGCCCAGCACAGGAGGCACCTCCCACAGGTTTCAGTTCCTTTGCTGCCTTGTGGCACAGAGGTGGGAGCTTTTCCTGGGTGCTCCTCACAAGAACGATCCCTTTTTGCCAAGGTTTGCTTTGAAAGAAGCCAGTGACACGCTGTCCCTCAGCCAATTAATTGCACAGCACTAATGAGTTGACCCTGAAAGGACCTGAGGCAACGCTGGGCTCCAAAAACAGCCACCAAGGTCAACTCGAGACCTTCAGGATCTTCCAGACTCCAAGTGTGAAGCTTGAGAATCCAGTTTCCCTTCCCCAAAAGTGGTTCTTTGGAACTCAAGTGGAAGGTGGGGCTCAGAAGGTGTTGGTGGGACCCATTTGCCTGCACCCCACCAAGGGTCCCACGGACAGAGCACGAAAAGGACCCGGAGGTTCCAACCACCTCCCCCCAGAGCCGCCCACGAGCCCTGGGAAAACTCCTGCTCCCTTCTAGAAATCCACCTGGGCAACCACTAGCCCTCGGGGCTCGCTCTGGGCTCTGGCAGCCCCTCGAGAGGAGGAGAAGGGTGAGCCCAGGGGGGCTGGGGCAGCCGTGGAGTTGCTGCTGCAGTCCACGTAGTGGTAGGTCTCCAGAGCGCTCTGCGTGAGGTGCCCGATGTAGGAGAGCTTCACCGACGTCCTGCCACGGGCAAGGGCACATCAGTGGGGGCAGGACCCGTGCCAGCCACCCCCCCTCCCCCAAAATCCAACACCCCGGCAGGTTTTACCCTCCTCCCCCTCAAAAGCTGCTCAGGGCTGGGCGGAGAGGCACAGAGCTGGTGGGAGCGGCCTCTGGAGCTCGCCGGGGAAGCCCAGGGGGAGGATCCTGCCCTGCTCCTGCTGGCCACACGGGTGCTGGCCCAAGCCAGGATGCTGGTGGCCACCTTGGCCACCCGGCTGTGCTCAACCCCCCAGGTCCTGCCCCTGGGGCAGTTTCCAGCCCTTCTGCCCCAGCTGGGAGCCCTGCGGGGGTGTTGGGGTGACCCAGGGGCAGGACCAGCCCTTGGCCTTGGTGACCCCCATACAGTTGGTCTCCTCTCCATCTGATGTTTCACCTGACTGTGCCACCAGCCTGGGTTAGAAGCTGCCACAGAGCAGCACACGGGGGCACCTGCCAAGCAGCATTTTCTCCGTGCCCCCTAAATCTGCTGTGGCAGCAAATCCCCTTTGGAGGCAGGGGACGAGCAGAGAACCACCCACCTCATGAAGATCACTATGTTGTGCACCTTCACCTTGGGAAACGTGCAGAAGAAACTGGAAGAGAGAGAAAAAAACAAAGAAATAGGTCAGGGCAGGCTACCCAGGGTTGCAGGGACACATTTCTCAGCATCCTCTCGTGGTATTTTCCTTTCGGTGCCAACTCATCTCAGGACCTGCTCCAAAACCCACGTCACAACATCCCCACAGAGGGGCCTTTGATGTAATTTCCAGCACGCAGCTCCCTTCCAGGAAGTCAGCAGAGAGCAAGTCATTTCCAGAGCAAATTTTAACGAAAATGGCCCAAAACCCACCCTCTTCCCCAGCCACAGACAGACAGTCAATCCTTACTACACATAGGAGAAGGGTCCACCCAGCTCCACCTTCACAGTGAAGTTCACCTGTAAAAGACAGAACACGTGGCCAGGCAGCTTAAATCCACCCCTTTTGGAGCCCTTCCTCCTCACTGTTGCTTTTTGGGTGGTGAGGATGAACCCCCAGCTGCACGAGGGGGTTGCACCAGCAATGGTTCCACCACGACACCCCAAATTATTTGGCCAAGCAGGGCGTTGAGGCCCAGAGAGACCATCTCCAGGTTAACCCCCGGGGGTTCCACACCAGTTTGGGGAGGGTGGCAGAGGGCAGCAGGAGCTGGGTACCAGTTTGTCACTCAGGGGCTGGATGCTGGAGACGTCGGTGACCTGCTGGCTGCCCACCACAGTGTTCATGTACTGCACCTGACTGCTCAGGCTGGTCATGGTCACCGAGTAGAAGTTGGAGTTCCTGATCCTCAGGGAGGCCTGGGTGGGGAAAAAGGGGAGACACGAGCAGCAGGGACTCCCCTGGCAGCTCAGCAGGGAATTCATCCCCTTGGGAAGGGACAGAGCAAACTTTACCGTGATGGAGAGGACCACGACCGAGTTCTTCTTGTCAAACCAGACCTGAACCACCTTAATTCCATCATCATCCACCAGCACTGAGTGGGGGAAGAGGAAGAAAACCACCAGCCCTGATATCAGGAGGCAGAGCAGCACGGAGAGGAGGACGTAGAGCTTCCTGGAGGAGGGAGAAAAGGGGTCACCCCCCCTGTGCCCCAACACTGCACAGACCTCGG